TGAAAACATGTCCACACAAAAGTCTTGCATATGAATATGTATGACAGCTTCTTGCATAATTTCCCAAAACTGGAAACAACCAAGATATTCTTCAGTAAGTGAATGGATAAACAAACTGTGGCCTTAAAACAATAGAACACTAGTCGTTAATTTAAAAATGACCCATTAAGCCACACAAAAACATCGGTGAATTCAATGCTTTGCCTTAAGTAAAGCCAGTCTGAAAAGGTGATCCAATTTATTTGACATTCCAGAAAAGGCAAAACCCCAGAGATAGTAGAAATATCTGTTGCTGCCAGAGTTCCAGGGTAGGGAGAAGGAATGACTTGGATAAGCAGACGGGATTTATCGGACTGTTGAAACTATTCTGTGGGTTACTATAACGGTGGATTACGTTACATCGTGGTGGATTACATATTGTCAAAATGGTGAATTACATTATGCATTTCTCAAAGAGCATGGAGCCTTAAACCACAAAGAATGAATTTCAATATATGCAAATTTTAAGACTAGGAGATCAGGAAATGCCAAGGTGGCATACAGAATATGTACAAACAATAGAACTGTGTTACCAACGTATGAAAGATTGACGAGTGTCAGTGGATGTGGTGCTGTCCTAAGTAATGCTGGAAGTGGGTGTCTAAGACTGAAGTCGAAAGAAACTGTGCTTTAGCACTATCATCCACGTGATACAGCTGCTTCCCACAGGGATAGTGGTTAGCGATTCTACACATCACACACACACACACACCCCATGGACCTACTAATTATATTGATGAGGGATGCTGGGAGTTAGCTTTCTCACGGCTGAAGTGGATGCTTATGGATAAACCAAGGAAGAATATGAGACTCTTCCTTGTGGTAATGGAGTAGTGTTGGAAACATCAGTGAGAACTCGTGTTCAGCTTCATATACATGAAGATGGTTGTACAAATAAACACAGATATGTATGCATATACACATAGGTTAATATACACATATACATTTCCTTACTCTGACATCTGAGACAGCTGGATGTAAAAAGTCCACAGGATCGATGAGCACGCCTGGAACCCACATCTAGGATTCTAATATACTTTTCCAATAAAAAGAAGTAGAAAGCCATGGAAAGTGAATTCTTCTATAACTGGAACAGGAACTATACATATGAGCCTGCAGCATTTTGTCATAGCAGAGCTAAAAAACATATATAATGTGAACCTATGTGAAAGGGACACCAGAGCGAACTGAAGCAGCTCCCAATGGACAGAGATGGAACAATTTGAGCAACAAAATAAAGTGGTGTTGGGTTATAGCCCAAAACATGTGATAACTAACTATGAGTTAATCTGAAATAAATTCATGGGTGAATAAATGCATAAAGTGGGGAAAATAAACAAATCTCCCATAGAGAAGAATCCCAAATCATTCATGTCTATACTACCCCTTCCCAAGAAGGTGGAACATACTTCACTCCTCCCTAATGGGCTACCCCTGGTGACTTTCTTACAGAAAGTACAGTATGAAAAGAGGGAATGTAATCACCTTACAGAGGGCCAACCTGACAAGCGCTACCTCAGCCAGGTGATCAAAGTCAACATCATCCGTGATAAGCCATGGTGGTAGTATATTGTGTGGTGAGAATAGCAATTCACCTCTCCGGTCTCCTGCCCCAAAACCATTACCTTAGTCTACACGTGAGTAAAACCACAGACAAATCCCAAATGAGGGCAGTGCCACAAATTGCCTCATGAATACTTCCCAAAACTGTCAAAGCAGTCAACAACAATAAAAGTCTGAGAAATTCTCAAAGTCAAGAGGATTCTAAGGAGACAAGATGACTAAAATAACGTGTTATCCTAGATGGGATCCAGGAATCGTCAAAGGATGTTGCAGAAGAATATTGGCTTGTTAGTTGTGAGGAATATATCATATCAACGTATGACGTTAATCATAGTAGAAATTGGTTATGATGTAAAGGAAGACTCTCCTAACTGTCTTTAAAATGTTCTGTAAACTAAGAAAAGGCTAAAATTAGAAGTTTACTTAAGAATGATACTGTTAAAATAATGGGATAAAAATATATAGATGGAGAGAAGATATGAGTAATCTGATGTCTGATAAAGAACTCATATGCTGAATGAATACCAACCTTTTAACATTCAACCGTTTGAAAATAAAGAATCCAATTAAAAACGGAAATGATTTGAAGACATTCACCAAGGAAGATACACAGAAACACACATACACTGACCAATGAAGATACACATATGAAAAGATGATCACCATAATTATTCACTAAAAACGCAAATGTCAACAGCACTAAGATTCCCCTACCCACCTATTACAATGGATAGAATTCAAATACCTGAAAATACCAAATTCTGGGGAGGATGTGGAATTCTCATTCATTGCCGGCAGCCAAGAAAAATGTTGCATTCACTCTAGAAGGCCTTTTGGCCCTTTCTTATGTAGTAAAACATAGACTTACCATTAGACCCATCAGTCGTACTCCTAGGTGTTAGTTAAGTGAATTGGAAACTTTGGCTCCCACATGGAAAATCGTGTACACAAATGTATATAGTAGTTTATTCATAATCACCAACCAAGATGTCCTTGAAGAGGTCAATGGATGAAACCAATGGTACGTCCACAAACTGAAGGTGTATTCAAAGTTCAATCTTCCCTCAAATGTTCCGGGACAGGAAGTTTTGGAGGCTGGTTCAGCCAAGTGGCGAGGGAAAATGAATCACCATCTTAGCGCAACTCTTCCGATGCATCAAAAAAAAAAAAAAAGGGCAATTGTTCAACTCATTCTCCCAGGCTCGCTCTCCTGGATTCAAAAACAGATGAAGGCGCCCTAGTACTCATGAGAAGAATTTGTGAGCCAAGTGTTACCGCAGCAAATGTCGTAAACAGATAATCACATATCCAACACAACAGTGGATTAAATGAACAAGCCACCTGTATGCATGGAATAAAAATTCTATTTAATGATAGAAAAAAATTCAGTTGTAATTCGCTGCATACAAGACAGACTAGTAAAAACATTCGGTCATGACAATGGGTACGGAAAAGGCGCTGAAAGCAATTCTATGTGAGTACAAATCAACAACTTTTAGCAAACTAAGATCAACAGGAACTTCCACTTCCTAAAATTGGCAGCAAGCATACATAAATGTGAAATGTCAGAAGCGTTGCCTTTCACACGGCAGTGACAAGTCATTGGCATAGGCTGTCACCACTACCACGCACATCTGTAGTGAATGTCAAAATGAAAAAGAGCCAGAACTGCGGATGTCAAAATGAAAATGAGATGTGAAGACTGCAAAGAAATAGATAGTATTAGTTACCTATATGATTATCTACACAGCAAATCCAAAGGAATAGGCACATTGAATATTCAAATGAATAAAAGACTTCAGAAAACATCATATAGAAGATCATTACGGCAGAATCCAGAGCCTTGCCACACAAAAGCAACTTAGTGCATAAAATTGAAAATAGAAAAGATACCATTCACAACAGCATTAAAATCCAAAATGTAAATGAGAAGAGCCTAACAAGACCTTTATGGTAGCGACTGTGCGAAGGGAAATATCTCAAGGGAAATAGACTCAGGGAAAAATCTCAAGTAAATGGATCTGTATACCATATTTCTTGATGGGGAACAGAATATGGCAGAGATGTAAACGCTACTTAAATTAAATACAGAGTGAGTGCCTTAACTGTTCTTGCCGAAGTGACAGCCAAGCTCAGGTTGCTGTGCTCTGCTCCCCAAATCAACCCTGGAAAAAGACAAAAAGCAGTATCAACAACGACACAGAGAAAGTCCTGGGGATGACTGAAGACTGTGCTGAACTAGTACTTGTGTTTTGGGTCCAGGGGGTCTTTACCCTGCATAGATGGCAGATGACAGGATGGGTAGGAGAAAGTGTTTCACATTCCACCCCACATCACTGCACAGTCTCAGGCAGCACCACAAAATATGGTGCCAGTAGCCCTGGGGCAATATCAGGACATCGGGAAACGTGAGTCGTTTGGGACACTACGGATCCGGAGTTCTGCTAACAACCACCTGAAACAAACTAGGAGAAGAAGACTGCCCTTCCAAAAAAAATATGATTTTGATGGAATATAAAGAATAAACTAGGAATAGAATGGTAAGTACGTGTGAAGCCCACACACTATGAATCGATAGTATTTAAAATATGTGTGCATGTGTATAGAATAAAGTCTACAAATAAAAACGAGTACGGATCTAAAGCTATATACATATTGGTACCTATAATCACACATATATGATACAAAGATATGTACATATGCATATATACCTATAAACATAAATTTATATAACGTCTAAAACAGGTACGCATATAAAGGCAAATATACGTAAAATGTACATATGCCATATGTAATGTACGCATACAATGTAAAATTTATTTCTTACCATATGAATGAGGATTAAAATATGAACATCACTAAACTGGACTACGATATGTTAGAGACCTTCAAACCACCTGGCTTCTCCAAATCTCTTGCTGCTGCTCAGCCTCTTCAGTAAAAAGATCAGTCTTTGAGGACAAAGTTTGCAAAGTCTAGCTTTGGCTGCGGAAGAGCCCCATGGGAAGGTGTGCGTCTTCTCCCAGAGGTCCTACAATCACAGGTGCTGCAGCACCCCCCCCCCCCACGCAGGGAGCATTTAGCCTTGGACCGGCAGCCATTCCCTGCAACGGGTGCCGTTGGACAGATGCTCAAAGGTGACGTAAACAGATCATCTCCCACCCGTCATTTCATCAAAGAGCCGGGAGCCAGGAGAACCCTCCTGGGTGGAGACAGAGGGTCCACACTCCCCACATAGAGAGGCCACAGAATCCAGCTCAGCCCCTCCTGTCAGTCCTGAAAGACCCTGGCAATGTTGTCACCCCGACCACACCCCTCCTCTCACTGCCACCTCAGGGGACTGGGAGGCAGAGACCCGGTCCGAGAGGAGCAGACCCAACGGGCAGAGGATGGGGACCCAGGCTCTGCCAGGCATCAAGGTCAGGACCCTGGGGATGACTGAGGGCCCCATCCCCAACCCCACCCTTACTTCGTCAGAACGCGGTTCAGCCCCTGCTGTCAAGCCAGGGAAGCCCCAGACCTGGAGGCCGGATGTGACGCCACTGACGTGCGCCCTGCGTGGTCTGAGAGAAGGGAGAGGCTTCCTTCTGAGGGGCGGCTTGATATCGGTGGAGGGAAGTGGGCTCAGGCTCTGTGAGGAATCCAGGTGAGGTGCTGAGGGAAGTCTGAGGACGCCCCCACCCCAGATAGAGGACCCTAAAGGACCAAGTGCCGTCTCTGCTCCCAGCCCTGGACCACCCGGGGCCGACTTGTGAGGCTGGGCCGCCCCCCTCCTTCCGCCGCTCAAGCTGCTGGGCACTGTGGAATGAGAGCTTGGTGTGACCAGGGCAGAGCTGGTTAGGAGACGGCAGGGCCCAGGCTCTGCCAGGTATCAAGGTCAGGACCCTGAGGGAGGGCTGAGCTCCCGACCCACCTCACCGTGACCTACAGCCCCAGGTTCCCCACCCCCATCCTCAGCCCCACTCTCCACCCCACCGCACCCCACCCCCAACCCTCCGGCAGCAGAATCTGTTTCTGCCCCTGCTGTCACCCGAGGGAAGACCCAGGTGACTGGATACAAGGCCAACGACTTGCACACGGGAGGGGTCAGAGAGTAGTGAGGGCCTCGCTCGGAGGGGAGGGTTGATATCGGCAGAGGGCAGCGCGCCCAGGCTCTGTGAGGAGGCAAGGTGAGAGGCTGAGGGAGGACTCAGGACCCTCGCACCGCAGATAGAAGACCCCAAGTAATCCAGCACTGCATCTGCGGCCAGCCCTGGACCACCCCGTGGGGGCGGACTCCTCAGGCTGGGCCAACCCTCACCACCCCTGCGCTTAAGCCCCCGGGGACTCTGGAGTGAGCGCTTGGTGAGACCAGGGCAGGGCTGGTTAGGAGAGGGCAGGGTCCAGGCTCTGCCAGGCATGAAGTCAGGACCCTGAGGGAGGGCTGAGCACCTCCCCACCCCAACACGACCACCACCACCATGACCTACAGCCCCAGCTTCCCCACCCTCATCCTCACCCCCACTCTCCACCCCCAACTCCATCCCACCCCCAGGTCTCCCACGGCAGCATCCATTTCCGGATGTAAGGCCACTGGCTTGTACGTTGGGGATCAGAGAGTAGCAAGGGCCTGGTTCTGAGTGGCGGCTTAAGATCGGCAGAGGGAAGCGGGCCCAGGCTCTGTGAGGAGGCAAGGTGAGTCGCCGAGGAAGGAGTGGGGACGCCCCACCCCAGATAGAGGGACCCAAATAATCTAGCACCACTCCTGCTGCCAGCCCAGGCCCACCCGGGGGCAGACTTCTCAGGCTGGGCCACCCTTTGCCACCCTGCCGCTTAAGCCCCAGGGGACTCTGGAGTCAGAGCTTGGTGTGACCAGAGGAGGGCTGGTTGGGAGAGGGTAGGGGCCAGGCTCTGCCAGGCATCAAGGTCAGGATTCTGAGGAAGGGCTGAGGTCCCGTAGAGGGAGGCCCTGCCCTTGCTGTCAACCCTGGGAAGTTCCGGGCAGGGCGGTAAGGCAAGCAGATCCTGATGTCTGCAACCTGGGCTGACCGAGGGAAGGGGCTTGGTATCGTTAGCATGGCCACGGGAGAACAGAGGGAGAGCCCAGGTCCTGCTGGGAGACAAGGGAGGCCTGAGGGGACCCAGCACCCCAGGACAGTGGGCCCACCCACCTCCATCTGAGACTGAGGCGCCTTCTCATTCAGTTTCGGGAATCCGATGGATAGAGACTCAGGTCTACAGAGCGGTGGGGCCCAGCCCTCTAGGAGACCAGGGAAAGAAGAAGAGGGAGGACAGAGGGACCATGGAGTCCAGATCCATGGGGATCTTGGCCTGGGCGATCCTGGGCACGGTGGCCACATATGGTGCATTCTGGCTTGTGGGGTTGAGTGTCAGTGGGGACAGGGCTGTGGTATGAGGAGTGGGGCCTCAGGTGAGCAGAGGGAGGAGTCTCAGAGCCGTGAGGAAGGATTCACCAGACCTCTCATCCCAGAACTAGGAAACCTGCCCCTGCCATCAGTCTCGGGAGGCCGCAGGCAAGGCTGTGAGGAAGGGAAGTGCCCCCCCGCCCCACCCCACACTTTCTCAATGAGAGTTTCAGGGAGAAGTTGGCCTTGATCTGCAAGACTCACCTCTGGTTCAGCAAAATGGAAGGGGCCAGACCCTGTCAGAAGTAAAGATGACTATCTAGAGGACACCCAGATCGAGGAGGCCCCCTGAAACCCGCTCCTTTGGTCAGTCTTGGGTATCTCATGCATGAGTGACCATGTGGTGCCCCCTCATTTCTGACGCCCAGGTCTCAGGGAGGTGGGGGCCTTGTTCTGAGGGGTGTCCTCAGCTCTGCAGAGGGAGCCACACCTGGTCAGCACAGGGTGGAATCCAGGGTCTTCCAGGAGTGACAGAGAGGAAGTTTGGTGAGGACTGAAGGTAAGAACGTACCTGGACGCTCCCAAAGCAGAAAGGACCTCACAGACACTGGCATCGCCTATTCTCAGCCCCAGGTGGCCCCAGGCAGGAATGGCATGTGGCATGCTCTCATTTCTCTCATGCGGTTGGGGGTGAGAGGTCTCAGGGAGGCGAGTACCTTGCTCCCAGGGGCACTGAGAGATTAAACAGAGGGATCCACACCTGGTCAGCAGAAGGAGGACTCCCAGGATCAGCAGGACCCAAGGTGTGCCCCCTTCATGAGGAATGGAGGTACCCCCAGTGCAGAAAGAAGCCGCCCCACAGAGTCTACGTGACCTCTGTTCTTAGCTCTGAGGATGGGGCTAAGTGGCAGGCTCACTTGTACCACCGGCAGGAAGTTGAGTAACCCTCAGGGCGATGAGGTGTTGGTGTAAAGGGAGATTGTCCGCTCATCTCAAGGGTTTGGGGGTCGAGGAAGGACAGGCTCCAGCAGGAGTAAAGATGACTAACCCACAGGAAGACTTTGGAATACCCACCTCATACCCACAGGAGGGGGTGAGCCGGTGGGGTTAGCCCTGGACACCCCACGCAAGTGTGACGAATGTGGGGACTCCTCACCTCTGTTTCTGAATCTCAGGGAGGTGAGGAACTTGTTCTCAGAGGGTGAGAGGACAAAACAGGGAGCCCCTGTGTTCGACAGACACAGTGGTCCCAGGATTGGCCAGCAGTCCAAGTGAGGAATCTAAGGGAGGATTGAGGGTGCCTCCAGACCAGAGAAATTCTCAGATCAAGAGAGTGCCCTGCCCCTACTGTCACCCCAGAGGGCCCGTGCAGGGCTGACTGCTGAGGTCCCTCCTTCATCCTGGGATCACTGGTGTCAGGGAGGAGTGGCCCTGGTCTGAGGGGGCTGCAGTCACATCAGCAGAGGGAGGGTCCCAGGCCCTGCCGGGAGTCCAAATGCAGACTGAGGGGACCCTGCTCACCAACCACAGAGGTCCTAGCCCCGCCCTGCCCCTTGTGTCAGCCAAGGGAAGCCACTGGGTGGATGGACTCCCCTCACTTCCTCTCCAGGTGTCTCCTGGAGAGGAAGGCCTCAGGTCAACAGAGGGAGGGTTCCAGACCCTGCAGGCATCAAGATGAAGACCAGGCAGGATCCTCACCCCAGGACACATGGACCCCATTGAATTTGTACCCCTCTTGTTGTACTTCTGGGAAAACCCTGGGCAGGTGTGGCCAGATGTTGGTTAGGGCATGTCCTTGTGTTCCATATCAGGAATATGAGCTCTTGATCTGAGAGACTCTCAGACAAGTAGAGGAGTGGAGTCCAGTCCCTGCCAGGAGAAATGTGAGGGCCCTGAGTGAGCACCGAGGGGAACATCCACCCCAAAAGTGTGTAGAACTCACAGTGTCCAGCCCGCCGTCTTGGCAGCACTGAAGGACCGGGGCTGTGCTTGCAGTCTGCAGCCTAAGGGCCCCTCGATTCCTCTTCCAGGAGCTCCAGGAAGCAGGCAGGCCTTGGTCTGAGGCAGTGTCCTCAGGTCACAGAGCAGAGGCGGCCCAGGCAGTGTCAGCAGTGAAGGTGAAGTGTTCGCCCCGCATGTGCACCAAGGGCCCCGCCTGCCCCAGCACACATGGGAGTCCAGAGCGCCCAGCCCCATCCACCCTACTGTCACCCAGAGAGCCTTGGTCTCTGCAGGTCAGCTGCATGCTGAGTAGCCCTCTCACTTCCTCCTTCAGGGTCCCAGAGGACAGGCTGACCAGGAGGACAGGAGCCCCAAGAAGCCCCAGGGCAGCACTGAAGAAGACCTGTAAGTCAGCATTTGTTAGAGCCACCGAGGTTCGCTTCTCAGCTGCAGTCTCTCACACACGCCCTCTCTCCCCAGGCCTGTGGGTCTCAGTCGCCCAGCTCCTGCCCACAGTCCCAACTGCTGCCCTGACCAGAGTCATCATGGCTCTTGAGCAGAAGAGTCTGCACAGCAAGCCTGATGAAGACCTTGAAGCCCAACGGGAGGACCTGGGCCTGGTGGGGACACAGGATCCCACAGACAAGGAGGAGGAGGAGGTGTCTACTGCTGGGCCATCAAGTCCTTCCCAGAGTCCTCAGGGAGGCTCCACAGACTCCCTGAGGAGTCTCTGGAGCCAATTCAATGAGGGCTCCAGCAGTCAACAAGAGGAAGGGCCAAGCACCTGGGTCGACCTAGCTCACCTGGAGTCCTTATTCCAAGAAGCAGTGAAATCTAAGGTGGCCGAGTTGGTTCATCTCCTGCTCCACAAATATGAAGTCAAGGAGCCGGTCACAGAGGCAGAAATGCTGGAGAGTGTCATCCAGAATTACGAGCACTACTTTCCTGTGATCTTCGGCAAAGCCTCCGAGTTCATGCAGCTGATCTTTGGAGTTGAAGTGAAGGAGGTGGACCCCGTCAGCCACTCCTACATCCTTGTCCCTGCTCTTGGCCTCTCATGTGATAGCATGCTGGGTGATGGTCATAGCATGCCCAAGGTCGCCCTCCTGATCGTTGTCCTGGGTGTGATCTTAGCCAAAGACAACTGCGCCCCTGAAGAGGTTATCTGGGAAGCATTGAGTGCGATGGGGGTGCATGTTGGGATGGAGCACACTTTCTATGGGGAGCCCAGGAAGCTGCTCACCCAAGACTGGGTGCAGGAAAACTTTCTGGAGTACCGCCAGGTGCCCGGCAGTGATCCTGAGCGCTACGAGTTCCTGTGGGGTTCAAAGGCCTACGCTGAAACCAGCTATGAGGAAGTCATAGATTATTTGGTCATGATCAATGCAAGAGATCCCATCTGCTACCCATCCCTGTATGAAGAGGTTTTGGGAGAGGAGCAAGAGGGAGTCTGAGTACCAGTCGCAGCCAGGGCCAATGTCTGTGGGGCCAGGGCCACACCCAGCAGTTGTCCTGCCCCATGTGACATGAGACCCATTCTTCACTCTCTGTTGGAAGATTGCAGTCGCTGTTGTCAGTGGCAGTGGGTGGAAGTGAACACACTGTATACCATCTCTGGGTTCCTTGCCTATTGGGTGATTTGGAAATTTATCTTTGCTCCCTTTTGGAATTCTTCAAATGTTGTTTTAATGGTCAGTTTAATGAACCTCAGCCATCGAAGTTAATGGATGACAGTTGTCACACATACTGCTGTTCAGGTTATTTAGGAGTAAGATTCTTGCTTTTGATTCCCATGGGGAAATCCACGTTATTTTGTGAATTTGGACAAGATAACTAGCAGATGAATTAATAATTTGTTTTTAGGAACTTGAACTTAGCAGCAAAATAGAGCTCATAAAGAAGTGAGGAAATGAAAGTATAGTTAATTCTTGCCTTATACCTCTTTCCCTCCCCTGTAAAATTAAAATAGACACATGTACACCTGGATTCCCTTGGCTTCTTTGAGAACGTAAGAGAAAAAAAACTGAATAAATAATTTTTCCTGTTCACTGGCTCATTTTTTTCTGCAAACATGCACTGAGCATCTGTTATTTGGAACATTCTGGCTTAGTAGTAGAGATGCAAAGGTAAGCCAGTCCCACCCCTTCACCACAGGAAGGTGAAGTCTGGGAGCTACAGTCATAAAATTAAGGTGGTGAGGTGTCCTCTAAGGACTAGAGGAAAATAAAACATGGGTGAGGGTTTGGGGCTCTAGATCACAGCAGTGGAGTGTGTATGCCCTGAGCCAGGGCCTTTGGGGCTTTGGGAAACTGCAGTTTCTTCTAGGGGAGCTAACTGTAATGAAGCTGGACGGTGCCAGAGCCAGATTCTCAGAAGAAGAGAGAAAGGCCTGGAATGGAGAACTGCTCAGCAGTTTCTTTTGGATGGTGGATGAACAGAGAAGAGCTTCCACCTGGGGCAGGAATAGAAGGAAATTGTCCTGCGCCCTTGTCTCGGTGCGGCTGAACACGGTGCAGGGGCTAGGCGATGGGTACCTGTCATCTGCCAAGGGTTTCCTGCGGGATAAGCGTGAATCTCCCAGGAAGGGAAGCCCAGAAGTCATTGGTGGTTTTCTGCCTGTCTTGGAGACCCAGAGTTGATCCTATTTAAACGGCATTCTAATCAAGTTATCTCAAGTGGGATTTGACCAATTGTAAGGAAAGGCCAGATTTTGAGCATTAAAAAAATGAGTGAAAACAGTGTCTTGGATCAAAAAGCAGCTGGGAGAGAGGCAAGGAGTTGATCCTTGATTCAAATTCTAGGAGCTCTGAGCTGCATCCGGCTGCACAAGACTCCGGCACACCCAAATTTTGAAGTACATTCTCTAAGAGGAAGTACTTACTTTTATTGAGGAAACTTCCTGTTTGGGCTAATTATCCCATGTCCTGTGGAGCTGCCTATTCTCTGATAAGTCTTGGAGAACAACAACATTAACGAAATCCCAGAGTGCTAGGGTCTGGGGTCAAACAATATTAGATATAACAGCCCTCTGCCATTCCTTAAACTTCTAATTCAACGCCAGGCCCCGAGTCAGGGGTTTCACATACATTGAACACACTCCAGCAGTCCTAGTGGAAGGGCCTCATCACACCTGCTTCACAGATGAAGAACCCGACGCTCACGGCCCTTCTGTACTTCCCAGCATCGCGTGGCTGGTAAGGAACAGAGCTGCAACTAGATCCCTGATCTGAATTTCTCTGGAGCCCATGCTGTTCCCACTCCCCTGAGCCTGAGGCTGACCTCCTCACTGGTACTTTATCTCTCTTCTCAGCAATGCATCATGTCTCTCAAGTGACAGAAAGAAGGACCCTGAGGCCAAGGTACTAAATGCAGGCCTAAAGAAGGTGACAATGAGCATCAAATACCATTTGGGGATGGCATGTGGCAGGTCCCCTGGGAACTGTCTGCTGGGTGCTGCCCATTGAGCACCTACTATGGAACAGGTTGTAGGGGCGCCTACAAATGCCCAGCCACATCTTTTTTCTTCTCTTTCTTGGGCCTAAGGGACAAATACATAATCAGCATTTCTGTCTGGCACCAGCACATTCCCGTGTCACGCTGCCCTTCCTCCGGTCACTATCATGTTTCTTCCCTTCTGACTCTGAGACCTGACCTACCGCTTGCTCTTCACTGTTGCCTTCCCTGGAAGCTGGGCAGACCCAGCTGCCCTCCATGCAACACGGAACATCCCTAGTCCTTGAAGTAGTCCCCTGGTTCTGGCATGGCTCACCCTGGGTCCACTCCCACAGCCACAGCCATTCTGGATGGTGACTTTAGACACTTGGTCCTCCCTCCCTTGGGGACTTCTACTCTGTGTATTCCCAGTGGGCTATGAGAAGAGTCCAATTTGGCCTGTAATCTCCTGGTTGGGTTACAGCTCTGAAGGTGGAGAGAGTGTTTTTGCAGCCAGTTGCATATTTGCAGTAGTATTTTATTAAGTTTCTTACCTGAAGCTGGGAACTGAGCACGCTCACGGATGGTGCTCAGAAATTCCCCTCCTAAGAGGTACAAGAGGAGCAGCCATTTCACGAAGCTGAATTCTTACAAACCCTGGGCTCCTCCCAGGAGATGAAAAATGGTTCCGTGGTGAACATGCCAGCTGGAGTTTCCAACGAATAATTAACCAGCCTCCCACCGCCTCCTGTCTGGCATCTGTCCCGAGGAACATACCGGCTTTCAGCCGGACTAGCGGCACCTATACAGGTGTTCAGGTAAGAACGGTCATGTGGAGGGTAGCAGAGATGATGGGTAAAAGTCTGCCCCGGCATCAGATGGAAGGAGGAAATCCTCAGCTTCCTGAGAGGATAGAAGGTGTTGCAAAGGGAAGTGCAGAAAATGCTGTGGAGTGAAGAAGGTGAACTCTCCCTGCTGACCTTACAGGATCCTCTTCAAGTTAGATGGGTTAATACAGCGGCCCCCATCCTTCTTGGCACCAGGGACCAGTTTTGTGACAGACAATTTTTCCAGGAGCACGGCAGGGGTGGAGGGGGGGCATTGTTCCAGATGATTCAAGCACATTACATTTATTGCGCACTTTACTTCTATTATTGTTATTACATTAGCAGCATAATGTAGAATCAGTGGGAGCCCTGAGCTTGTTTTCCTGCAAACAGATGGTCCCATCTCGGGGTGGTGGGAGACAGTAACAGATCATCAAGCATTAGATTCTCATAAGGAGCCCGCAACCTAGATCCCTCACGGGCGAAGTTCACAGTAGGATTCCTGCCCCTCTGAGGAGCTAATGTCTCCTCTGATCTGACGGGAGGTGGAGTTCAGCTTCACTTGCTTGCCCAACCACTCACCTCCTGCTGTGCAGCCTAGTTCCCATCCATGGCCCCGGGGGTGGGGGGGGCGGGGTGTTGGGGACCCCTGAGCTAATACATTTGAAAGGATATGTAACATAGTAGACACGCTGAGCATTTCAAGGCAAATCTGGTCTCCTCAGAAACTTCTCTGAGAAATGAACATTGTTGTTGTCATAACAGTTTATAGTTTCCGCAAAATTTGCTCTACTTCTAGCTGTGTTCAAAGCTGTTGCTTCTCCAAAACCATGTTTTCTGGGGTTTGGTTTTGTTTCGTGGGACAGAGTCTCGCTCTGTTGCCCAGGCTGGAGTGCAGTAGCGGCAAGCTCACAGCTCACTGCAGTCCCCGCCCCCCAAGCTGGAGCGATTTTCATGCCTCAGCTTCCCGAGTAGCTGGTATCACAGGCATGCACTGTATGCCTGGCTGATTTTTGTATTTTGAGTAGAGACAGGGTTTCACCATCTTGGCCAGGCTGCTCTTGAACTCCTGGCCTCAATTGATCTGCCTCTCTCTGCCTCACAAAGTACTGGGATTACAGGCTTGAGCCACCACACCTGGCCCAAAGCCATGTGTTTTAAATTTCTCAGATTGACATCGGGGCTTTCAGTTTGTCTGATCTACTTAAATATCTAACATTTGATTCCATCAATGTTATTTATTGTTTTTCTGAAATTTCCAAAATTTCAATTTCATTATTTTTTCTCCTCTTGTCTATATTATCCCCATCCTTCTGCTCACCTGAGGTGTAATTTCCTTTTTCTTTTCCAGTTATTTAAGATCAGAATATACATATTTGAGTCTTTTATTACTTTCTAATATAAGCAGCTCAGTACATCAAACTTCCCCTAGGCACATTTTAGCTGAATGGCAGATATTTTAAAACATCACATTTCTATTTTTATTTATTTGAAAATATTTTTTAGCTTTGAGAATTTTTTCAACGTGGATTACCTTTAATTTGTTCCCTTCTTTTCTGGTTAGTTAAGGTAGAAGCTCAGATTATTTATGTGAGATCTCTGTTTTACTTTAATCTAAGTACTAAATGTTATAATTTTCTCTCTAAACACTGTTTTAGTTGCATCCCACAAATTGTGTTATATTGCTTTTCCAATTTAATTCAGTTCTATGAATTTCCTTGAGGCTACCTTTTTGATTCTTGAATTGTTGAAGATGGTGTTATTTAATTCCACAGGGTATGATAATTTCCTATTGCACTTATGTTGTTGTTCGATCTCTATTATGGGGCCAGAGAGGCCGAAGAACATACTCTTGATGATTTGGATTTTAGAAATCTGTTGTTTCAAAAAGAAAAAAAAGGGAGGGCACAGTGGCTCACACCTGTATTCCCAGCACTTTGGGAGGCCAAGGCAGAGAGGGCACTTGAGGTCAGGAGTTCCAGAGCAGCCTGACCAACATGGTGAAACCCGGACTCTACTAAAATTAAAAAAAAAAAAAAATTAGCCAGCCGGGCACAGTGGCTCCCCACTGTAATCCCAGCATTTTGGGAGGCCCAAGTGGGCGGATCACGGGGTCAGGAGATTGAGACCATCCTGGACAACATGGTGAAATCCTGTCTCTACTAACACACACACACACACACACACACACACTAGCTGGGCGTGGTGGGGCATGACTGTAGTCCCAGCTACTCAGGAGGCTGAGGCAGGAGAATCGCTTGAACCCAGGAGGCAGAGGTTGCAGTGAGCCGAGATCCCGCCACTGCACTCCAGCCTGGCAACAGAGCGAGACTCCATCTAAAAAAAAAAAAAAAAAAAAAAAAGTTAGCCAAGGATGGGGCACGCACCTGTAGTCCCAGCTACTCAGGAGGCTGAGGCAGGAGAATCGCTTGAACCCAGGAGGCAGAGGTTGCAGTGAGCCGAGATCCCGCCACTGCACTCCAGCCTGGGCAACAGAACGAGACTCCGCCTTAAGGAAAAACAGTGTTTATTTTATGGCCCAGGAGATAATCTAGCTTGGTGAGTTTTCCATGTGTGCTTGAAACAGGCATATTCAGATGTTGGAAATTAAAAACATCCATAGAACTGAATTAACTGGGAAAATCAATATATCAAAATTTGTGGATTGCAGCTAAACAGTGATAGGAGAGAAAATTATAACATTATGATCTACCCCTACCAGTTCAGTTCTCCAGTCCTTGGTAACTATGAAGATTTCTGCATGGGCACTTTAGGTTGAACCCAGGA